GGCTGACAGAAGGGGGGGGGAAGGAGACAGAGGAGGAGGAGGAGGAGGAGGAGGAGGAGGAGGAGGAGGAGGAGGAGGAGGAGGAGGAGGAGGAAAAAGGAGGAGGAGGGGGAGGAGGAGGAGGAGGAGGAGGCGGAGGAGGAAGAGGAGATCGAGGAGAAGAAGAGGAGGAGGAGGAGGAAGAAGCGAGGAGGAGGAAGGAGCGAGGAGCAGGAGGAGCAGGAGGACCAGTGTAAACCCAAGAGTCATCAACGATGTTGGAATCAACCCTCCATCCGAGCTCCCTCTTCACAGGCCCGTGCAACGGTTCAGTTCCCTTGAGGGAACTGCCTTTTTCGAAAACAACAGTTTGAAGACCTTGACGCATGCCAAAACATTGCTTTCGGGATTTCAACGCCACGGATGAACTTGACTGTTGCGCCTTTACGATCCTGAACCGTGCCAGAACGCCATTCCTGGGACTGTAAGACAGCGGATCAACCCAACTGTTGCGCCCGCATCACCCAGAATCCTTTCAAAATGCCATTTTTGGTACGCTGATGATGTGGATCTGTGAAAATCCTGCAGATTTTGTCAACGAATGTTCGCTGCGCTAGGGTGAAAACAACATTTTGAAAAGGAACCGCCCTCAATCCGTAAACCTCCGGCACGTGTTTAGAAATAGTGTACGCCGCGCTGAGGCGAGAGCCACATTTTGAAAAGGAGCCGACCTCAATCCGTGAATTTTTTGGACCGTTTACAATCGAATGTGCGCGGCGCTACGGAAAAAAAAAAACACCGTTTGAAAAGGAACCGCCCTCAGCCCGCGAAACTCTTCAATTGTTTAAGAAACTGTGCGCCGTGCTAAGGCGAGAGCCACAGTTTGAAACGGAACCTCCCTCAATCCGCGCAGCTCTGCAAGTTTTTGAAATCATGTGCGCCGCGCTGAGGCAATGACCACATTTTTGAAACCAGTCGCCCTCCATCTGTGGAGCTGCTTTCAACTTTTAAGCTTCAGAGTCATTCGTGAAGTCTCAGGCGAAACGCTTGGACCGCCCTAGAAAACGGGCCCTGGGGTGCGACAGGGAGAAGTTGTTGACAGGGAAGAAAAATGGAGGAGGAGAAGGAGGGGCGCCAGACCCGATGCAGGCCTAGGCGGTTTGCGCGTTTTTAATCGGCATCCTTCTGTGGAAGCCGAAAGAAACCGAACACGGATCAGAACCCCCCCAAAACACAACAACCAAACACCAACACATTTTTTCGAATCGAATCTGGCGGTCGACCACGGAATTCTATATGAAGTGTTTTATGTGTTGTTTTTGTTTTTTGATGTAAAGCCTCATAATCGGAATCCTTTGGGAAGCGCCACAAAAGGAGTCCTATAGAAAGCCTCGCAATCGGAATCCTTTCTGGGAAGCGCCACAAAGGTATTCCATTGGAAAGCCTCACATCAGGATCCCTTTGGAACGCGCCACAAAGGGATTCGATTGGACAGCCTCACGCCCGGAATCCTGTGAAAAAGCGCCACACAATGATCCCACTGGAAATCATCACAATCGGAATCCTTTGGGAAGCGCCACAAAGGGATTCCATGGAAACGCCTCACAACAGGAATCCTTTGGAAAGCACAACGAAGGGATTTGAGCGGAAAGCTTCACAACAGGAATCTTCTGGAAAGCCCGACACAGGGATTGCATAGGACAGCCTCACCACAGGAATCCTTTGGAACGCGCCACACATGGATTCGATTGGAAAGCCTCACAGCAGGAATCCTCTGGAAAGCACCACGAAGGGATTCCATTGGAAAGCCTCACGACAGGAATGTTTTGGAAAACGCCACACAGGTTTTCTGTTGGAACGCCTCACATTCGGAATCCTTTGGGAAGCGCCACAGAGGGATTCAACACCCTCACGGCAGGAACCCCTTTAGAAAGTACACCGAGGGGATTGTACGGGAAAATATTGGAAAGCCTCACAGCAGGGATCCTTTGGGAAGCGCCACGCAGGGATTCCATTGGAAAGCCTCACGACAGGAATCCTCTGGAAAGCACCACGCAGGGATTCCATTGGAACGCCTTGCAACAGGAATCCTTTGGACAGCGCCACAAAAAAGGGTTTGATTGGAAAGCCTCACAGCAGGAATCCTTTGGATAACGCCGCAATAGGATTCCATTGGAAAGCCTCACTGCAGGAATCCTGTGGAAACCCCAACGAGGGGCTTGCCTTGGAAAGCCTCACCACAGGAATCCTTTAGAACGTGCCACACATGGATTCGATTTGAAAGTCGCACATCAGGAATCCTTTGGAAAGCACCACGAAGGGATTCCATTGGAAAACCTCACGACAGGAATCCTTTGGAAAGCGCTGCAAAAAAAAAGGTTTTATAGGAAAGCCTCACAGAAGGAGTTCTCTGGAAAGCACCACAAAGGGATTCTATGGGAAAGCCTCACAACCTTTGGAAAACGCAACAAAGGGATTCTATTGGAAACCCTCACAGCAGGAATCCTTTGGAAAGCGCCACAAAGCCTCACAACAGGAATCCTTTGGAACGCGCCACAACGGGATACGATCGGAAAGCCTCACGATCGGAATCCTTTGGGAAGCGCCACAAAGGGATTCTATTGGAAAGACTCACAACAAGAATCCTGTGAAAAACGCCACAAAGGGATTCCATGGGAAAGCCTTACAGCAGGAATCTGGCGGAAAACACAACGAGGGGCTTGTCTTGGAACGCGTCACAACAGGAATCTTTTGGAAAACGTCACACATGGATTCGATTGGAAACTATCACAGCAGGAATCTTTTGGCAATCACCACCAAGCGATTCTATTGGAAAGCCTCACAACAGGAATCCTTTGGAACGCGCCACAACGGGATTCCATAGGAAAGCCTCACAGCAGGAATCCTCTGGAAAACACCACGCAAGGATTCTATTGGAAAGCCTCACAACAGGAATCCTTTGGAAAGCGCCACAAGAGATTCGATTCGAAAGCCTCACAATCGGAACCCGGTGGAAAGCCACGAAGCCACCATTGCGTGCTTGTTAAAAACGGCCAATCCGCCCAGGCCTGCATTGGGTCTCCTTCAGGAGGAGGAGGAGGAGGAGGAGGAGGAGGAGTTGGAGTTGGATCGAGGCAACGCAGCGTCGTGACGACGACTGCATTGCCCACAGCGTCGGGTCAGGCCAGGAGGGGCGAGCTCGAGAAGGACGGAAGGGGAGGAGGGGCAGGAGGAGCATCTGGGCCTTGACTGCCGTGGAGTCCTTCTGACATCCTGACGCTGTAGGTAACGGGGCCGCTGCCACGAAACTGCCTCGCCCATGTCCCCCCCCCCGGGCGGCTTTCGCTTCCTGGAGGTGGGGGAGGGATAATTCGAGTCCTCGTCCTCCTCTTCATCCTCGCCATCCTCAGCAGGTATGTCGGTCCTAGGGCGTCTATGCAGTCGAGCATCTGATTAAGAAACCTTCTCCCGAAAAGCTGGGCCAGCGTGCCTTAACCAACTTGCCGGAAAGCTGGCCCAATTTCTTGAGTACCTTCGCCCTTCCAGCGTTAACAACAGAACTTGGCCCATGTTTGTTTCAGTATGTTCTAGCCCATGTTTATTGGATGGCAATTACATTGATTAGAGTTTCTGCTGTGCGTGCTTGGAAGAGACACTGGCTCCGCTAGGTGTCTGATCTGCCCTGCGGAGGGCGCGTGCTGTCGCACGTGGCCCCGGGGCTGCAGGCAGGCCACCCCGCCCCCCGTCCTGAGCTGGCGCGGCCGGGAGGTGGGGAGGGGGGGCAGGCGTTGGAGGAGCCCCGTGTTCTCATCGCGATTGCCAACGGTTTGTGGTTTGCGATCGGCGCCGATGGGGCCTGGGGGGCAGAGCGCTATCCTCGTCGGCCCTCCTCGGGGCGCGGCGGAGGACTATCGAGATCCCCGCCCCCCCCCGGGGTGCCTCCCATGGTGCCCGTTGCAGGCCACACCCTCTGCAAACCACACCTTTCGAAGTCGCCGATCTTCGGAGAGATAGGAGGAGGTGGACGTGAAGGAGGAGGAGGAGGAGGAGGAGGAGGAGGAGAAAGAGGAGGAGGAGGGAGGAGGAGGAGGAGGAGCAGGAAAACGAGGAGGATGAGGAGGAGGAGGAGGAGGATGAGCAGGAAAAGGGTGAGGGGCCAATCTCTTCCGCCCTCCCCCCGCCACCCCAGCGGCAAAGATCGCGAGGGTGGAGGGGAGAAGAAGTGCAGTGGAGGGGAGGAGAAGTGCAGTGCCTCAGCATGGGATCGAAGGACCAGTGCCCGCAGCCACGAGCCACGAAGGAGGAGATCCCTGGCCAGGGGCGCGACGGTGTAGCCACGGCTCGCGCGCGTCGCGGCCTTTCGGGCCCCGGCCAGGGTCGCGACGGTGCAGCCCCGGCCAGTGTCGCGATGGTGTACCCACGACGGCTTCTCCAGGGGGCGGCACGAGGGCGCGAAGGCAACCGAGCACCGCACATCGCGGGGCACATGCGCGAAGAGGCGTGGATGTCAGAGGAGGACACGATACCCATACCGCTCCTCTTCCGTCGTTTTCCCCGTTTCGGGTCTCCTGGGAGGCCCTCGTCTCCACCGCTGGATTCGCCTCGAAATCCTGGTCAAAACGCTCCCCGGGAGAGGTCTGGGGGGTAGCGGCATGGGTACCTTTTGGCTTCCCCAGCAGGAGAAGGAGGAGGAGAGGAGGAGGAGGAGGAGGAGGAGGAGGAAGAGCCATCTTCCTCCACATGATGGGCCCTGGACTTGCATGTCGTCAGGCCCTCGGCGCCCTCTTCGCTGCGGCCAGGGCGCCCCCCGGAGTCCAAGGGATGGGGTGCTTGGGGAGGGTGGCGGACTCCGCGGGGCTCTTTAAAGCTCCTCGGCTCCTCCTCCTCCGCCTCCTCTTCCTCCTTCGCATCTTCCTCCTCCTCGTCCTCCTCCTCGTCCTCCTCCCCCTCCTCCTCCTCTTCGTCCTCCTCCTCCATTCCTTTTCCTTATCGATAACTCCTCCCCAGCGCCATATACCGAGGAGCTGGTGCCGCTGGTGCGCGACAGGGGCCGCTGGCGGGAGAGCGTCGACGCTCTGGAGGTGTACCTGCAGATGTGCATGCCGGACGAGGCGCCGAAAGAAATTGAAGAAGAAGAAACGCCACACACATAAATTTGTGCTTGTTCTCGACGGCTTCTCGGCGCTGGTGCGCACGACCCACGTATCAAAATGTCGGACGCTTTACAGTTGACCCACTTACTCTGAAACGGCCTGCTACAGTCGACATTGAGCCCGCATCCGCTGAACTTTTGGCGCTCCGCCCGGATTTCTGGGATCCGCGCTGTCCCCCTTCCCGACGGCGCTTCTGGCGCCGCCCCTGGCGCGCTCCGCGCGCCAGGGAGGGTGGACCAGCGCAGACCCAAGAAGTCCGCGCGGAGCGCCAACAATTTGTGTGTTATGGCGTTTGATGTTCTTCTTCTTCTTCTTCTTCTTCTTCTTCTTCTTATTTTTATTATTCTTGTTCTTCTTCTTATTATTATTATTTCTTCTTCTTGTGAGAAAAGCTCAGGGGCGGTCGCTGGGAAGCGTGGGGGGGGGAGCAAGGGGGCTGCGGTGCGCAGCCGAGGTGCACCCGCGTGGCGCGGCCGCACGCGGAGGCAGTGTACGCAGGTGGAGGGCGAGGAGGAGGAGGAGGAGGACGAGCAGGAGGAGGTCAGGTGGTCAAGTACTCCAAATCCCTTAGTAATCGATCCCCCGCTAAAGAACCAGGCCCCCATTCAAATGCGCCCTTATATTCCGGACCCCCCTCTCCGACGGGGCGCCTTAATGAACCGGACCCCCTAAGTTCCAACCCAAAGGAAGCACTCTAAAAAACCGGACCCCCCCGGTTACAAAAAAGGCGCCTTGGAAAAACCGGACCCGGGGGACGATTAATAAGGTATTTGGAATACGGGAACCCCAAGAGTTGTTCGACCTATGGCTCAGTGAGATTCAGTGGGATTTAGCGGGTGTCCCCGTGTGCATGTTGTGGGTTTTCGTTGGATTTGGCAATGTGTAGACGCTCGTGCGATTACCTGAGGCTCCCGTGCCTGGCCACCAAACAAAAAAGGGGAGGGGGTAAATGAGGAGCATTTCCGACGAGGAATAGGAGGAGAAGCGTGGAGGACTGCTGGGGTTGGAAGGAGGCAACACGAGGATGAGAGGAGTTTGCGAGAAGTTTGCGAGAAGGTTGAAGGTGGGTGTTCAGAGCGAGCACCAACCGGATGTTGCGTTGAGCCCTCTTGTCCTAGCACGAGTTTGTCAAGGGCTCATCCATCCCAGCAGCTCCGTAACACGCCAGAAAATAGCAGTTATTGCACGCAAGTAGGCTTAACGCTGGACCAAGTTTTGAACGGTTGGCGCTCTCCCTCTGCGTAGCAGTTGCACGCACCGTCTATGGTACGAACGCTCTAGGAAGTCTGGGGCGGGAGCGAAAGTTTGAAATCGGCATGCCCCTTATCCGCGAGAAGTTGTTGAACTCTTGCAATGCGAACGTGCGCCGCGCCGAGCCGAGCCGAAAGCCTCGTTTTGAACACACCTGCTCTCCATGTAGATCACGGGTGTGCAGCGTTCGCAGGCGAGAGACACATTTAGAATCCACCCGCGTCATCCGTGAGTAATCGGCAACAGCTTCGAAGACGAATATTGCCCCTCGCTCAGACGGGAGCGACGTTGTGACACGGTACCGCCTTCATGTGTGCAGCGTTGTTCGGATTTGTTATGACGGTTGTAGGCCAGTTCGGGAGCTACAGTTTGAAAGTCCTTTTGTGCCACATCTCAAATTGTAGGGACACATATTATGTTTTACATGCGACAGACATCGGTGCGGAAATCAGGAGTAGACAACTCAATAGCAGGTGTTGTCCATTCTGAGCAGGATTCGTTGTAGGCGTCGCGGCGGTTGGTTCGTTTATCACACATGTTCGCTTGGCCAACTGTCCGCTGTCGGTTTGAGGCAAAATTGGTTGTTGGGCATCGTACCCATGTGTTCCTCACCCATCTCGGGCGTCCAAGCTCTCTTGCACGGCCGCCCAGCAGAATCACGGTGCTCGCTCCACCCTGTGCTCGCTCCACCCGCTGTCCATCTGCTCGAGACCTTCGAAGGGCTTCTGGTGCGCCCGATCCCCGTCGTGCGCGATTTCTTGCGAATCCCAACCGCACGCGCGGTCCCCTCTCCGCAGTCAGTTGTTGACTCAGATCTGCCGGGCCAGAGTTCGCGCCGGCGCGCTGCTGGTCTTGGAGTGGGCGCCTCTCGTGCGCGGGCCAGGGATGATTATCCCCATCCGCTGCTACTCCTGCGGAAAGCTGATCGGCAACCTTTGGGAGCGCTACCTGCAGATGCTCCAGAGCGAGATGAGCGAGAAGGAGGTGCTGGACGCCCTTGGCCTCAACCGCTTCTGCTGTCGGAGGATGATGCTGACGCACGTGGACCTCATCGAGAAGGTCATGAACTACAACATATCCCAGGGGCCGACGCCACTACTCGGCCACGCGCAGAAAGGGGTAGGGGAGGGGAGACGGCTTCTTAGAAGCACGCCTGTTTCCTAGAAGGCGCGGGCCTTGTCACTGTAGATGTAAGCCCCGCGCTTTTTGAGAAGCAGCCTCCTAGGAAGCATTTCCCCCTCCACCTGTCCCCCTGTGCGCGCCGCCAGAACGAGGGAATCCGTGACGAAGCCCTCGGCTGCTCGGGTGCCCCAGGCGTTGACCACCTCGCCGATCCTGGCCGGGCCCTTCCGGGGCCCAGGACCCGCCCGTGGACTCGCCTGGCTCGGCCGGGGGTCGGGGGGCGCGAACGCCGACCCCGGGCCCCTGGGCCGGTCCAGCCAGGAAGCGTCGCCTGCGCCGGCGTCTTCCCCAGCGCGCCCCAGCAGACGAAGTCGGAGCCACGGCACGCTTACGGCAGACCTGTCATCTCCGGGGCGGCGTTTGCGCACCGGCGGCTGAGGCGCTCTCCCCAGGGCGTGAGGCCGCGCAGCGGACAAAAAGATGGCGCGGCGACGCACAGAGGGGGCCCATGCCAAGAATCACGCTGCTTGCCTCCAGGGTGCCCTGGGTTTCTGGGGTCTCGGTCTCGACGGTTTTGCGATGTAGAGCGCGACGTGCCCACGCCAAGAGTTCGTGGACATCCTGGGGTCTCAGGGTCGGGTGTCTCGTGGAAGGCTTCTTGTGGACTGGCCTCCACTGTGAGTGACGTGGTCGCCTGGCGTCCACCGACCAGGGGGTTTGCAGAGTGCGGGAAGAGCGCGCGGAGGGCCCAGACCTCCGACGCTCGAGGCCGAGGAGGACGAGGAGGACGAGGGAGGAGGACGACGAGGAGGAGGACGAGGAGGACGAGGAGGAGGACGAGGAGGAGGACGAGGAGGAGGACGAGGAGGAGGACAGAGGAGGAGGACGAGGAGGAGGAGGAGGAGGACGAGGAGGAGGACGAGGAGGACGAGGAGGACGCGGAGCAGGCCCCCCCCCCGTGCTTGAGGCCGAGCTCCCGACCCCGTGCCAATTCCACCATGCTCCGCCCTGCTGCCGCTCTCTGGGCATGACACGGGCCCCCACGGGGGCCTCACCCAGACAGGTCTGCCTCACTTTTAGTGTCCTCCAGCTCCCCCTCCTCCTCCTCCTCCTCCTCCTCCTCCTCCTCCTCCTCCTCCTCCTCCCTCCTCCGTCCTCCGTCCTCCTCCGTCCTCCTCCGTCCTCCGCCTCCGCCTCCTCCTCCTCCTCCGTCCTCATCCTTTTCAGAACGGCGCCCGGGGCGGCGGGGGGACCGCCAAGACAATGTATCGCACGCCTCGCTGCCCACTTGCTGCACGGCAGGGGCTGGCGGATACGAGAAGCGCGGCCTCTCCCTGGCTGTAGACACGCCCATGCAGGAACCCTCGAGCTGAGGGGCACAGCCAGGGCGCCCCTTTCTCGCGCGCCGCACGAGACAGCTCCGGCGGCACGCTTGCAGCGCCCTGAGGAGCGGACGCGTGGGCGTGCCGTCGCGGACGTCGGGAAAGCGCGACCGCCGCCGTTGTCGTACGACCGCCGCCGCCGTCGTCCGTCGTCGACCATCGTCGTCCGTCGATGTCGTCGTCGTCGTCGGTTGTCGTCGTCGTCGTCGTCGTCGTCGTCGTCGTCGTCGTCGCCCGTCGCCCGTCGCCCGTCGCCCGTCGCCCGTCGTCGTCGTCTGCCGTCGTTGTCGCTCGCCCTGGGCCGTTGGCGAGGGCGAGAGGTCTGGACCTCAGAGTGAGGTCCCCGTGCGTAGCGTGCGCCCTCGCTCCTCCACCCCTTCGTCGTCCCCTTCTCGGGCAGACAGAGAAACGGCCCTCTCGCTCTCCACTGCCCCGCCCATTTCGACGTACCCCTCACGCGCCTCCTGCACCTCGGGATGCTCCTCCTGAGGCACCATGGGAGGCTCCTGCAAGCGTCCCCGCGCCCGTGCTAACACACCCCTTCGCACTGCTCGCGCCCCATACGGAATCCCCTCTACGGGCAGCAGTGAGGGCGCCCGCTTGCGTCCCCGCGCCGATGCCAGCGCTCCCCTCACGCGGATCGTGCCCCACGTGAGGGGCTCAGCGCGCCTCTCCGTGCCTGGCCCGCAGCCTCTCCGCCCCGCTAGCCCCGAGGGCCTGAGGTTGTATTCGTCGTCGTCGTCCTCCTCCTTTCCTCCTCGTCCTCCTCCTTCCCCGCCTGGACCTCGTGCCCCCTCGTGGGCGCGCGCGCGAGGCCAATCTAAAGTACTAGAATCCTCATCCTTCCCCTCCTTCCCCTCCTCCGTCCGCCCTCCCCCTCCGTCCGCACAGCCCCGAGCCCCACCCCCCTCCCGCCGCGCGCGGCGTCAGCAGAGGGCCGCGCCCTGCACGTGCGCGCGCAGCGGTCCCGATCAGGGCTGGGCCCGTCTCGAGAAGAAGCAACCCGTACAGACTTCAGTTTTTAGAGCTCCGCGCGGATTTCTGCGGTCGGCGCTGGGCCCTCCCTGGCGGCGTCTTCGGCGACGCCCCTGGCGCGCTCCGCGCGCCAGGGGGAGGGGTCCAGCGCAGGTCCAAGAAATCCGCGCGGACCGCGGCAATAGTACAGTGGGAGCGCGCATCAAGAAACCATCTGCTTTTCGTCAGGGTATCTTGGGTTTCTTCGCTCCTCGCGCTGCGCGGCGACTTCCCGCAGCCGTTGAAGGAGCTGCTGCGTTCAGGATGCTCCAGGTTTCTCCTCAGGTGCACCTCGCGCGTGGGTTCTCAGAGTTGGGTTTCTTGCGAGGGTTTCTTGCGGCCGCGCCCGCACTGTATGTTCGTGCAGGTTTTTGTTCCTCAGCCCTCGCTGGGCTGATCTGTCTGGGCAGCGGCCGGCCCGCGAAGGTCGCAGTGGAGGAGGAGGAGGAGGAGGAGGAAGACGAGGAGGAGGAGGAGGAGGAGGAAGTGGAAGTGGAGGAGGAGGAGGAGGAGGTGGAGGTGGTGGAGGAGGAGGAGGTGGAGGAGGAGGAGGATGATGATGATGAGGAGGAGGAGGAGGAGAAGGTGGGGTGTTCTGGCGTCGCCCTATCAGTACGCGGGTTTGTGGAGGATGTCAGTTTACACTCATTTATTTGCATGTTTGAGGAGGCTACCACAGTCCGCTGGAGCCAACTAAAGGCTGCTGAAAGCTCATACAGGCAGCTAACATGCGAATGGGGCCCATGAAGTTGTCATCTAATATTGAATGGCGCGGAAGGCAACACAAGGTTTCTAAAGTGAGGCGGTACATGTTAGAACGAGCTTCCAAAAATACTCATCGAGCTATTATCCTCGGAAGAAGGAGAGGGAGAGGATGCGGAAGAGGAGGAGGAGGAGGAGGAGGAGGAGGAGGAGGAGGAGGAGGAGGAGGAGGAGGAGAGGGCGGCCGGGGGGGGGGGGGCACGAGCCAGAAGAGAATGTGCCGATGCCGCTGCTCGTCCTGGAGAGCTCTCGCCGCCATGGCCCGCCGCTCCTCCAAGTTTTGCGCAGAGCGCACCCCGAGAGAGTTCTGGGAGCAAGCAGCGGTATCGGTGCTTCTGCTTGTTCCCCCAACGAGGGGAGGGGGAGAGAGGCCGCGTCGCGGGAGGGGGGGAGGCGCAGTCGGGGGGGAGGAGAGGGCAGAGAGCGACGAGGGTCGTCGAGAGGGAGAGGATGCGGGAGGGGAGAGGCCTGAGATCCGACGCTGCGAAGATGTGCGATATGGTAGAACAAAAATCGCGATGGGAGCCCCAGACCCCATGTTCGGATCGAGCAGTGAGGGTCCCAGGGCCCGAGATGGGGTGACAACGCCCGCTGTGAAAATGGCAAGGCTGGGATCTGAGGGAAGTCGGCGCCACCCCAACATACTAATACTATGTGTGCGTCGCCCCCTAGGGGCGACGTGCGCGCCGAGAAATCTGCTCCTATAAGCTCCATGGCAGGCGCTTTCTGGCCATACCGCTCGGGAAACGATATACTACAATATGCTTGTACTAGATGTTCGGGTCGGACGCACGCCTCCGAGGGGGACACATACAGTGGGGCCTACGCCAATAGCCAAAGAACACCCTGCTTGCCTCCTAGGGTGCCCTGGGTTCCTTGGGTTTCGATGGTTTTGCGATGGAGAGCGCGACATGCCCACGCCAAAAATCAATTGACGTCCTGGGGTCTCAGGGTTGGGCTTCCTGTGGAAGGGTTGTTGTGGACTGGCCTCCACTGTAGTACTAGTATATCCGTCTGCGTCCCAGGAAGGAGGGGGGGGCGGCGGCGGCATCACGGCCAGCGCCCGCGCCTTGGCCCGCCAGGCCTGCGCCAGCCTGGAGGCCATGCGCGCCGAGGAGCGGGTGCACCTGACCGAGCCAGGGGCCCAGCTCGGCCACGCGCAGAGGGGGGTAGGGCAAGCTGGGTGCGCTCGCGCCTCATCTGACATCCTATCCTCACAGGAGGAAGGGGTACCGGGCACCCATACCTCTGCCCTTTCCTCGTTTCCCTCTTTTTTGTTCTCCTGGGCGGCCCTCGTCGCCACCGTTGGATTCGCTTCGAGATTCTTGTCAGGACGCACCCTGGGAGAGGTCTGGAGAGTAGCGGTATCGGTAGCTTTTGGTTACCCAAAGCTGGGTGCGTTCGCGCCTCGTCTGGCATCCCAGCCCCCCCTCCCATCCCTTCCCATGGCGCCGATTTTTCTTTATCGGCGGACGCGTGTCGTAGCCGACCTGCGGCTCCAACAGAAAGACCACTTCGTGTTATGCGCGATCGGAAAAAAGGAGCTGCGTGCACAGTAGAATGAAGAGGAGGAGGAGGAGGAGGAGGAGGAGGAGGTGGCGGGTGAGCAGGACGATGAGCGGGAGGAAAGAACGAACAGCAACAGCATGAATAGAAGCAGAAGGATCGGGAGGAAAACAGGAGGACCCCGAGACGGCGGAGGAGGGGAAATGAGGGGGGCGACAAGGACGAATAAAGATTCGGATTCGGAAAAGTGGGCCGCGCTGGGGCGCGACGAACAGCAGCAGCAGCAGGAGTTGGAGTTGAGGGAGCGGGAGGAGCAGGAGGACCGGGGGAAGGCGGAGGAGGGGAACGTATGGGGGGTGGGACCACAGTGAGGCAATATTCGGATACAGGAAAGTGGCCCGCGGTGGGGCGAGAGAGCCACACTAAGCGACGGGAGCAAAGCGCTGATCCAAAGATGAGGCCCACGCTTGAGCGGGAGCACCATTTTTGAAACACCGGAAACAATCGGACTGTACACGAAACCCGGTGTTTTTTTGTGTAAAGACCGTACGCGGAAGGGGGCGGGGGAGATCTTTCAGACAATTTCAGGGGAGGAGGGAGAGTAGGGCTCGTATTGCTTAATTGTGGAAGGAGAAGGCTTCTTCAAAGCACCCATTGTTTTTAGAAGGCGCTGACCTTGTCTGTACATGTAAAGCCAGCGCCTTCTAATAAGTAGCCTCCTTCTAAGAAGCCTTCCAACCTCTCCCTACCCCCCGCTTGGCTTCAGACGCAGTGTTCTGGCATCGCCCTATCAGTACGTGGGTTTGTGGGGAATGTCATGTCACTTATTTGCATGTTTGAGGAGGCTACCACAGTCCGCTGGAGGCAACTAAGGGCTGCTAAAAGCTCATAGAGGCAGCTAACATGCGACTGGGGCCAATGAAGTTTTCATATAATATTGAATGGCGTGGAAGGCTACAAAAGGCTACTAAAGTGAGGCGGTACATGTTAGAACGAGCTTCCGAAAAGACTCATCGAGCTATTATCCTCGGAAGAAGGAGAGGGAGAGGATGCGGAAGAGGAGGAGGAGGAGGAGGAGGAGTGAGGAGGAGTGAGGAGGAGGAGGAGGAGGAGGAGGAGGAGGAGGAGGAAGAGAGGAGACGAGAGGAGAGGAGATGAGAGAAGAGGGGAGGGGAGGGGAGGAGGAGGAGGAAGAGGAGGAGGAGGAAGGAGGAGGAGGAGGAGCAGCATGAGAAGGAGGAGAGAGGAGTGAGGAATGAAGAGTGAGCAGTGAGGAGTGAGGAGGGGTGGCGCGGCCAGAGGCCAGGTCGGTTGCACAGGCATGCCTCCTTTTTTTCGGTTGGGTGCGGCAGTTCGGCGAACACCTCCTGGAACCTTCTTGAGGAAGGCTTTAGGAAGGTTATTGGGAGGAAACCCTCCTGAAACCTCCCTTCTGAAGGTGGTTGGAAGGTTTTTAGGAGGACTCCTCTTGAATCCTTCCTGAGGACGGTTTTTGGACGCCTTTTTGGAGGACACCTTTCACAAACCTTTCAAACGCCTTCCTGAGGACGGTTGTAGGAAGGTTGTTCGGGAGGATACCATCCTGAAACCTTCCAGGAGGAGCTTTTTTTAACAACGGTTTTTTGGAGGAAGACCTTGCGGAAGATTTCGGGACGGTTGTTCGGGGGATATTTTCTTGAAATTGTCTTGGGGAAGGTGTTTGGAAGGTGTTCTGGAGGAATCTTCGAAACAGCTTTCCAAAGTCTTCCTGGGGAAGGTTGTAGGAAGGGTTTTAGGAGGACGCCCTCCTGGAACCTTCCGGAGGAAGGATTTTGGAAGGGGTTCGAAGGAATTTCTCCCACGACCGTTCTAAAATCTTCCTGGGGGAGGTTTTGAGCATGTGTTTGCGGGGAAGCTCCTTGAAACCTTCCTGGGATTTTTTTTGTTCGTTTTTACGTGGACTCCGTAACACACCGTCCAACATAAACTTTCCTGGGGAAGTTTTACAGACAGGTCTCAGGAGGAAGCCGTCCTGAAACCCTCCTGTAACAAAAAAGGTTTCTAGAACGTTGTTAGGAGGTATCTTCCAACAGCCTTTCCTGGGGAAGGTTTTCGCCAGGTTTCTAAAAGGAAGCCTTCCTGAAACTGTTCGAAGGAAGGTTTTTGGAAGGCTTCCATGCTGAATCCATCAGAATGCTTCCAAGCACCTTCCTGAGGAATGTTATTTGAACTGTTTTAGAAGGAAGCCCTCCTGAAACCTTCCAGGGGAAAGTTTAAGGACGGTTTGGATACGGGCCTTCTTGGAACCTCCTTGGAACTTCCCTTCGGGAGGTTGTTGGAAGACTCGTGCGAGGAATCCTCCAAACACCTTCCAACAACCTTTTCTGCGAAAGGTTTTCGCCAAGTTTTCCTGCGAATGGTTTTAGCCATGTTTTTAGGAGGACGCCCTCCTGGTACCTTCCTGAGGAATGTGGTTGCGAGGTTTTACTATGAAGCCTCAAGAAAAAAACTCCAAACAACCTTCCTGAACAAGGCTTTAGCCAGGTATATTGAAGGACCCCCCCCTGCAACTTTCCTGGGGAAGGTTTTCTTAGAAGGTTTTAATACTAGTCCTCCAACAACCTTCCCACCACCTTCCTGAGGAAGGTTGTAGGAATGTTTTTAGGAGGACGCCCTCCTGAAATCTGCCTGAGGAAGGATTGTGGAAGGTGTTCAGAGTAAGTTCTGCCAAGACCGTTCTAAAACCTTCCTGGGGAAGGTTGTGAACATGTGTTTGCGATGAAGTTCCTTGAAACCTTCCTGGGGAAGTTTTTTTTGGACAAAATGATAAAACATGGGTTCCTTAAAACACGGTTCAACATACATCTTCCTGAGGAAGGTTTTCGGAAAGTGCTTATAAGGAGGCCCTCCTGAAACCTTCCTTTCAAAAGTTGCTTGAACGCTGTTAGGGGGAATCCTCCAGCAACCATTCCTGGGGAAGGTTTTCGGCAGGTTTCTGAAATGAAGCTTTCCTGAAACTGGTCGAAGAAAGGTTTTTGGAAGGCTTCCATGCTGAATACATCACAAACCTTCCAAGAACCTTCCTAAGGAATGGTTTTGGAACTTTTTTAGAAGGAAGCCCTCCTGAAACCGTCCTGAGGAACGTTTAAGGACGGTTTGAAAACGGGCCTTCTTGAAACCTCCTTGAGACCTTCCGTAGAGAGGTTGTTGGAAGACTTGTACGAGGAATCCGCCAACAACCTTCCAACAACCTTTCTGCGAAAGGTTTTCGCACAGTTTTCCTGCGAACAGTTTTTGTCATGCTTTTAAGAGGAAGCCTTCCTGAAACCTTCCTGAGGAATGTTGCTGCAAGGTTTTGCTATGCATCCTCCGGAAACAAAAACTCCAGACAACCTTCCCGACCAAGGTTTCAGTAAGGTCTGTTGAAGGCCCCTCCTGCAACTTTCTTGAGGAAGGTTTTATTAGAAGGTTCCAATCCGAGTCATCCATCAACCTTCCAACACCTTCTTGAAGAAGGTTTTAGGAACGCTTCCAGAAGGAACCTCCTGAAGCCTTCTTGAGGAAGGTTTTGGGAGGAATGCTTTTTGAGGGAGGCCCTCCTGAAACCCTCCGGAGGAAGGTTTTTGGAAGGAGTTTAGAAGGAATCCTTTAAAACCTCCCCAATGCCTCTGTGAGGAAGGTGTTGTAAGGTTTTTGCGAGGAGACCCTCCTGAAGCCTTCCTGAGGAACGCTGTTGGCAATGTTTTAATGAGGAAGCCCTCTTGGAACCTTCCTGAGGAACGCTTCTTGTATTGTTTTCCACATGAGCCCTCCAGACACCTTCCTAAAACCTTACTGGCGGAGGTTCCAGGAGGTTTCTTACGAGGAAGACCTTCCTGAGTCCTTCCTGAGTGAGGTATTGTGGACGGCTGCTACGAGAAATCCTCCAAACACCTTGCCCCAAGCACCTTCATGAGGAAGGTTTCAGGACGGACTTTCAAGGGAAGTACCCATGAAACCTTCCTGAGGAAGTTTTGATTGGTTTCTAGAAGGCATCCTCCAAAGACCTTCCAAAACAATTTTCACAGGGAAGGTTTCAAGAAGGTTTTTAGGAGGATGCCCACCTGACACCTTCCTGAGGACGGTTTTTGGAAGGTTTTTGAAACGAGTCCTCCAAGGAACTTTTCGAGAACCTTCCTGAAGAAGGTTTTAGGAAGGTTTTTGAGAGGAAACGTTCCTGAGGAACCTTTTTGGAATAATCCTCCAGCAACCTACCTAACGCCTTCCTCAGGACGGGTTTCGGAAGGTTTTTAGGAGGAAGCCCTCCGGCAAGCGCCAGGACACCGTGCCAGCCCGCGTTGCTGCAGCGAGACCCCCGGGTGAGGGACCCTTTCTCCAGGTCTCACGTTGGCTCGCCCCGTGATCTTTGCATACGGCGGGGCCGTTCGTTCAGGAACGTGCTCGGGAGGCTCCAGACCCTGCAGGAGATCTCGTCAGACGAGGGCGGCGGTGATACCCAGGGCCGCTCCACGACTGGAGCTCCGCGGGCGTCCAGGTCCCTGACCTCCTCGTCCGGACCCTGGCTCTTCATCCAGCGCCCTCGTCAGATAGGTGCCTCGCCCCTGTGGATCTCCTTTTCGCTCCTCGAGCCGCTCCTTCTCAGGAGGGGGG